CCACAACATGCTGCTGTGAGCATGTAAGAAATATTGCTGCTGCAAATATAACATACATGAAATAACCCCCATATAGCATACATGAATCAGCTCGTAGCAGATCTATACAGGTGGATCTGGGGAAGGTGGAGGGTTTCTGAAGCTGCAAGCTTCAACTGCCACGGCAAGCACTAGTCATATATTTGAATGTTGAGCAGCAAGCTCATTGGCTACCGATACAGGAGAGAACCAATCAGCTGTGCCATGTGATAATGATGTCATTAGGTCAGATTGAGTTAGACCTATCGGACTGCGCCATCTAGAGTTTCATGCCAGAACTCTGAATTTGCAGGTTTGCTGTGCTTGTTTGTAGGGCTGCACAATTTGGCCCAAATTTTGTGATTCTATATAAGTATGGTTATAAAATAATAATATTTTATATAAATAATAATAATCAGAATCAGAATGAGCTTTATTGCCAGGTATGTTTACACATACAAGGAGTTTGTTTTCGTGACAGAAGCTTCCACAGTGCAACAGAATGACAAAACACAGATAATAAAAGAATAAAAATAGAACAAGTAAATAGCGAATAAAAATATACAAATTGACAATTTGTATGTACAGGTATATTATTTATATTATTCACTCTGCAGAATCACTGGTATCACTGGTATCATTGAATAATAATAATAATACATATAAAAATTATTTAAAAACTACATAATAAATATTACTATTGTAATATATCACTGAAAAAAATATATTTTTAAGAAAAATAATATCTGCCTTATTCTTCACGCAAAAATGGACGCAGCTATTTGTACATTTTATGGGTATGGATTCCAGTCTCATTTGCTTCCAGCTATTTTTAGCTGTACAAAACTGCTCGTTTTGCTGCTTGATATTGCAAATTGGTGTGTCATACCATATTATTCTAGTGTATTATCTTAATTCTGAACACACTGGTTTGTAACGCAAACGGATTTATCGTTTACTGCACATTGTTATTCTTCTCGTTATTTCCCTATAGCAGCTAATGAACCGCGCGTCTCGCCCACAGGCTTACTTCTGCGTTTAGGAATAAGGTGGATAATAATTAAAGGGGTCACATGATGCGATTTCAAGTTTTCCTTTCTCTTTGGAGTGTTACAAGCTGTTCGTGAATAGATAAGATCTCTAAAGTTGCAAAGACTAAAGTCTCAAACCCAAAGAGATATTCTTTATAAAAGTTAAGACTGGTCCACGCCCTCCTAAAATGGCTCGTTTAAACACGCCCCCACATGTCTACGTCACGATGTGGGAAGATTTGCATAACACCGCCCAAATGTACACACAAAGAAAGAAGGCGTAACTTTATTGTTGTTGCCACCGTTGTTGTGAAGACGCTGTGTGTTTTGTAGACAAGGTTTTATGTTTACGCGGTGCGATGCAACGCAACACAACGCATAAAAAAACAGTATAAGTCATTATAATCCGTAATTATGTCCCCACTGGATGCAACAAATGCCTCGTTTATAATGGGTTTTAATGTTTTTGTCTCGTCGCTCCGGCCGGACACACCATCACAGTATGTAACATTGGCGTAACATTTCCGAGGTATTCGGCCAATCACAACACACTGGATAGCTGGCCAATCACAGCACACCTCGCCTTTTCAGACCGATGAGCTTTGTAAAAATCAACGCGTTTCAGAAAGGCGGGGCATAGAGGAGTTGCTTATGTGTATAAATGAACACTGTGCCACGCTTAACCCTGAAACCATTCATCAATCATGCAGCCCTACTCAAGACTCACAACTCCAGTGGGATAAAGGTATATTTACTGGCTCTCTTACCTTCTTTAGGACTGAAATGAATCAGTTTGCCCTTTATGTTGACTGGAGTGGGCTTGAAGTTGCACTGTCCTGGAGGAGCCCTCCTAAACAGTGAAAAAAAACAAGTACAACTGTTTATTTCACAGCTGTTGAAATCTAAAGTTCAAAACCATACCTTACACCCTACAGTACATAACAGGGTAAACATCACTATTAGTATTGCTCATGTGAGTGAATAAATGACAGGGTTGTTATGTTCTGTGAACTATTCCTTAAATATTGCTTCAGAAAAGCAATCTCGCTTTATTTTTGAAATTGTGAGAGGTATTTTGATATACCACTCAAGGATTCAAGTGGATTCTGTCACGTATAGAAAAATACAGTAAAAACTGTAAAAAATTTGAAATATTTTTACAAATTAAAATATCTGATTTCTACATGAATATGTTTTCAAATGTAATTTATTCCTGCGATCAAAGCTGAATTTTCAGCATCATTACTCCAGTCTTCAGTGTCACATGATCCGTCAGAAATCTTTCTAATATGCCGATTTGCTGCTCAAGAAACATTTAGAAAACAGTTGTATTGCTTCATATTTTTTGTGGAAACTGTGATGCATTGTATTTTTCAGGATTCACAGATGAATAGAAAGTCCAAAAGGACAGCATTTATTTGAAATAGAAATCTTTTGCAACATTACAAATGTCTTTACTGTCACTTTTGATCAATTGAATGCATCCTTGCTGAATAAAAGTGTCCATTCCTAATATAATGCTGTATGTGTACCTGGAGGGATCCACTATCTTATACACGACTCCTGCTCTGGCTGTGGCGCTGGCCGCTCCGGTCGCAAGGAAGAAAAGCTCACCTGAAACACAGACGACAGAGATGAGTGTGAGAGTGTGTTACACTGAAGAACAATAAAAAGACGTTTGCATAAAGCAGTCAAACACAGAGCTGCTCTCATGTTACCTGCCTCATCTTCACCAAATGATATGATGTACTTGTAGTAGCTGTTTATTAGTTTAGGGAAACTGCATGTTTTGTCAGCGCCCATACAAATCTCCTTATAGCTCCACTTTCCAGTCTCAGGGTTCTCCTTTAGGGACATCAGTCGCCTAGGATGCATAGAACGGGAAGAGTGTGATTTAATCAGTACATAGTAAATATATGAATATGGAAATAATGCAGTCATTACGGGAAAGTAAACATGCAGTATTTTTGTGTTGATGGTGTAGAAACAATTTTATCTCAGAAATTGCTAGTAAATTTCACTATTAATTATAAAGAGACTAAGTAACGCATTTAATTAAATGTTCAATTTTTTAGCACAACGAGTGAAATAGTGTTTTCTTACAATAATCGTACAATATGTTTTTTTTGCATTGTATTCTTGTTTATAATTTGTTATACTGGACTGTAATTCATGAAGTAAGGTCCATACAGTAGATAATACATGCATACCCACTCATAAAATCCCCAAAGATGTACAGGCCATTAAGATTGGGCATCTGGCAGCCTCTGTAGATGTAGCCGCCAGTGACAGACTTGCCGATTTTATGTGGGTAAGCAAAAATTGGAAGGATATCATCTTGGGAAAAAGTGAACAAAAAACAAAACAAGTTTAGATGTTTGCTCTCATATACTCTTCAACATCATTTTTAATGAGAATAAAACGACAGGCTGTGATGTAGTTTGATTATATACTAGCCTGCATGTGAGATTGCCTTATCTAATACAACAAACTCAATACTTCAACACTGATGAATAATTTTTTGAAAGTGCATGAAATGTGTTAACATCTTTAACTGTCAGAAAACAACATAGAAACACAACAGTAAGCAATAATAATATTGCCTTAAAAAAAAACACATTTTAGAATTTATGACAAGATTGAACAAAAAAGAAAATGTGCTCATTCTCTGTGTGTATGTACAAATGAGTGTGTTTCTTCATCAGGTTTGGGGAAATGTAGCATTGCATCAGTGTCTCAGCAATGGATGCTCTGCAGTGAATGGGGGCCGTCAGAATGAGAGTCCAAACAGCTGATAAAAACACCACAAAAAAATCCACATGACTAAAATATGAGTCCATAATCCATAATAACACTTCCTCCAGTGAAAAAGTGTTCTGGTCTGAATCAGGAGAGAAATCTGCACAGATCAAGCACCGTTTAAACAGCTCTAAACACATATGTGGTTGGATTTTGATGAGAGAGACCACATGAGATGCACTTTTTCACTGGAGGAAGCGTTATTATGGATTATGAAGTCTTTTACATTTATGTAGTCATTTAGTCGATTACTTGTGGATTATTGTATCAGCTGTTTGGACTCTCATTCTGACGGCACCCATTCACTGCAGAGCATCCATTGCTGAGACACTGATGCAATGCTACATTTCTACAAATCTGATGAAGAAACAAACTCATCCTGATCTTGGACGGCCTGAAGGTGAGTATATTTTCAGCAAATACTCATTTTTGAGTGAACTATTTCTTTGAATTAGACAATATATGAAGAAAATGGTAGTTAATTTAACTTTTAATACTTTGTGAATCTGGCCTATATTAAGCATAAATAGCCACATTTGAAAGGCTTGCTCACTGAGTGATGAGTTGGTGCAGAGTTTCTTGTCATAACAAGAGAAGCCCTCCTTTGCCCTCCATCCATAGTTTCCTCCTTTTTCGATGAGATCCACTTCCTCGTATTTATTCTGCCCGACGTCCCCGCAGAGCATTCTGCCGCGGCCCTGAGCGCTGACCGGATCGCCCCTGTCGATGGAGCACCTCCACATGTTCCTCACACCGTAGGCGTAGATCTCTGGCCTCGCGTCCCTCTCTCCCACAAAAGGGTTGTCTGATGGGATACTGTAGGGGGCGCCATAGTCATTGTTGTCTACATCGATTCGCAGGACCTTGCCTAGAAGAGTAGACCTGTAAAACACCAGTGCTTGTTTTTACACGGAGATGTGTGTTGTGTCTTTTTTTTTTTTATTAAAGATTTGCGCTGCATGCAGAGGCATTTTGTGTAACATTAAAATAAGAATGTGTCCTTAGGATTGCATTCATAAGACTACAGTTTTAACCTGCCCTATAAACATTTGCACCATCTGCTGTTGCTTTCTCTCACTCAACCGCATCCTCTCTAACCTCACGTAGCCCACAATGCCCCTGTGTCAATATTGACCCTGGCATGGCTCTGAACCGTCTGTGAAGGGCCTCTTCACTCATTTTCCCTCCTGTGAAAAGAGCTGGAGCGACTCCTGGCTTAGATCTGTCCTTCATTCACTGTATCTTATTAATTTCTGCTTTGTTGTTTTTATCTGTTGTTTTCGGCTGATTTAGAAAGCGGAAAAGATCTTCTAGCACCTCAGAACAGAACAAACAAACAAACATCTAAATCACCGTGGGTTACATTTATGGATTAAAATGTTGAGACAAGCCAACTTCAGACCAAAGTTTAATACACTGCAAAAAATGCTTTTCTTACTTAGTTTTTTTTTTTTT